GCCCAGAGCAGGGGGTTGGACTAGATGATCTGTCTAGGTCCCTTCCGACTCAGTGATTCTATGATTTGAATACAATTTTTTCAGTCTTCATCATCGTGTCTCCAGTCCAACCTTTCTATACGGTCTGCTTCCAATATTCTGCACAAGCCACTGCTTCTGATGTTGGTGTTGCCAGATCTTATGGGGTGCATAGTGTTGCTACAGGGCATCTCAGAAGATGATCCATGGCTTGCTTCTCCTGACAAACACATTGGTTGATTGCATAGAGGTCCCACAATTTCAATGGAAAGTTGCATTTTCTGAGAGCCATTCTCAGTCTGTTCAGGCTCCGCTACTTACACCATTTGTAGTTGGAGCCTGATGCTAACTCCTTGCTGGGGGTAATTCCTCACTGGATCCATTCAATAGATTTGTTGCCTAGTTATTCCCATTCTTTTTGCCAGATGGTAGTTCTGGCTGATTCCAGTGATGTGGTCAATGGTATAGTAGATGACAAAAAAGCTATTTCTCAATGAGGCGTGACGGTGTGCCGAGTGATTTCCATACAGCAGGTAGCCGTCTTCTGACTCTTGTACCTGCCAGTTAATGTTGCCTGCTACTTTCCTCCTGATGTAAGGGGGTGCTATGCCATAATGCATATAGGCTAGAAACAGGGGTAGGTTTTAGGCAGCCTGTTATAGTTCTGCATGTATCATTTCATGGCAACTGTTGATCCTTCCAGATCATGGTATATGCATGAGAGGTCACCCAGACCGTCAATGCGTATGCCTAGGCAGGAAGTTTTTTTGTTTTTGTTTGGGGGTTTGTTTTTTTGCGGGGGGTGGGGGAAGCTGCCCAGACCTTTCATCCCCCATTTAGGCCACTGAGGCAAACAAGGATTCTACCACTAAACTTTGGGGGACTCCATGCATCAGTTAGGGCAGTGTCAATGTCTACTGTGACTTGAGCATTCCCAGGTGGGGCAGGCATATTTAGCCATGGAGAAACAGTGTTAAGGCAGTAGTGCATAGGGTGAACGATTGTGCTATCCACTTGGAATTTGTGAGCTTACAGAGAATGTTTTTTTTTGTATGTTGACCTTGGCTTTGGTATTTAATATGTGCTTTTTGTAACTAAGTGTATGGTCCAGCATTACCTCTAAATAGATGCGGTGTTTCTGATATATAAGACTGGTCACCCCAGGTGACATTCAGGTGTTGTCCTGCATCCCAGTTTCTCAGATGGAAAGAACAGATTCAGGTTTTGCTAGGGTTGAGTTTGAGATAATTATTTAGGTAATAATCTGACATCTCTTTCAGTGCCCTCTCCAGGATCTTCTTTGCATCCCTAAAATTCTTCTGCTGCGTGGTAATGCAGAGATTGTCAGCATAGATGAAGTGCTGACATTCGACAGGATCATTCGACATTTGATCATTAACATAGATGCTGAATAAAAGTGGAGTGAGCACACTGCCTTGTGGTAAGCCATTCTTTTGGGAGTGCCACCTACTTTTCTGGCCATTTAGTTCCACACAGAAGAGCCTGTTCTCCAAGAGGCTACAGATGGTCTGACTTAGATCTAAGTCATCAGTCATAAGGAACAGTTTGTGGATCATGCTGTGGTGCTGGACAGTATCATATGCAGCAGATACCTCAACAAATGCTGCACTAGTGATTAACTTCTGCTGGAAACCATCTTCAATATGTTGTGTGAGGTTTCAATAGTTGGCCTGCATGGGATCAACCTGGTCTAAAACCCGCTCGGGTCTCGTATAAGTCTGGAATTTATCAAGGGTGAAATTCAGTGCAGGATTAGACATTCATAGAGTTTGTAGGCAATGCTGAGGAGGGAGATTGGTCTAGTAACTTTTTGGTGATGTAAGATCTCTTCCTGATTTGGGCAGAGGTATGACTCTTGCCTTCCTTCATACAGATGGTATTTGTCTGGCATGTGTCTAATAGATCAAGGAGCCATTGCCTTGCAAGGGGTTCTAGGTATTGCATCATCTCAGTGAGTATGTTGCCTACTCCCGCTGACTTCCCATGTTTTAGTAGGCTTATGCCGACTGTCAATTTCTCTATAGTAAATTAATGGGTTAGGTCTTTAGGTGGTTGCTTGTCAGACAGTATAGTGATGGTGTTCTCCAGTGTTTCTTCTATGTAAGCGCTTCCCATTATTGAGAATGATGGTATATGATAAATACCTCCCTGTGGTGCATCCTGGGCAACTTCTGGAGGGTCATCTCCTAAAAGGCCAAATCTAACAACCACTCCAAAGATCAACCAAGCAAAGTCTGGCCCACTAAGACTAATACCATAACCCTCAATAAGTTGCTTTACATGTTGTGCTGGGACTTGGCTCTAAGGCAGGGGTGGACAAAGTGACAGATCCGGGCAGCACCTGGATTCTGTCTTCCGGCAGCCCTTGCTTGCATGGTAGGGCCGGTCTCCATGAAAACCCCAGCCACAGCTGCGCTGTGACAGTGCAAGGCTGGGGCTGCCAAGGAGACCAGCCCCAGCTGTGCTGGTAGGGCATGCGGCATGGCAGGGGGCTGCTCCAGAGCTGCTAGGATCTTGCAGTGGGGGCAGCTTGGTCGGGGCCAGGGTACAGCTGCAATCTTCAGCCTGCATGCTCCAGGCAGGGGCACACAGGCAGCACAGTGGCTCTGCCCTGGCTCCTTGCAGTGGTGGCAGCGTGGTCCAAAGCCAAGGAAAACTTGTGATCTGCTGCCAGGGCATCCCTGCCCCAAGCCTGCAGGCTGCAGATCATGCCTCTGCCCTGGTCCCAGACCAAGCTGCCTCCACTGCAAGGTCCCAGCAACTGCAGGGCAGCTCCCTGGCCTGCTGTGCACCCTGCTAGCGCAGCTGGGGCTGGTCTCCATGGCAATCCTAGCCTTGTACTATCACATCACAGCTGTTGCTGGGGTCTCCATGGAGACTGGCCCAGCCACGCAGGCACGGGCTGCTGGGAAATGGAGTCCACTGGTGGCTGGATCTGGCCTGCAGGCTGAACTTTGCCCACCCCTAATTTAAGTCTAAGTACGTTAAAAAAGCCCAAGGCAGAACTGACCATAGCTGTGTAGACTGGATCAGGAATGAACAGAACACACGTTCACCCTTCAGTGGGGGTGGGGGCGGGGGCGGCAGCAGGCAGATGCCTGCACTGTCTGAGGCCAGAAGGCAGAGGGCACTCCTGCATGCCTCCCAGTATGCTGGAAATTGCCAAAGGGCAACCAAGCGCAGCTGAGTGGGGTCATCCCTTACTGGATGTCAGGAACACATCCCCAACCCCCTGCTGTCACCATGGGCCCTCTCCCATGTCCAGCCCTAGGCTTCTAGAGTGGGATCCCTGCTGGTGGTGTCACGGGGGGTGGGCGCTCTGCAGACTGAAGGATTGGGTCCCCCAAAGGAACAGGGAGGGGGGGTGCAGGAATGGAGGCTTTGGCGGTCAGGCTGCAGCACTTCTGCCCAGTTGCAGCTCCTGGCTCAGCCAGCACACAGCCCAGAGTAGGCAGGGGGAGCAAACAGGGAGGCTTCCTGGCTTGGCTAGCTAGTGGGGTCCTTCTCTACAGCTCTGCCCCCCCATCAGCTACTACCTGGGCCCTCTGCTGGAGCCCCCTGCCCCAGCCCTCCTAGAGCTCAGGTCTGCACAGCAGGGGGGGCCTGTACAGCAAGAGCTTTTCCCTCTGCTACCTGGGTCAACTGGCCACCGGAGCTCTTCTCCATAGCCCTGTCCTCCTTCTAGCTGCTACCTTGCTGCTGTGTGGAGAGCCTCCGCTGCACAGGGCCTCCCAGCTGTGCAGATCTGAGCATTGAGGGGGGCAGGGGTTGGGAGCAGGGTCTTCATCCCCTTCCCCTACCCTCCCCCCTGCTGCCCGGTTCAACTGACAGGTGCAGGCACGATGCGGTGTTTGGGAGCACAGGCTTTGCTCCCTCAGTTCTGGGACAGCACAGGGTTGGGCTGGCCTAGTACCTGGTTGAAGCAAATGAGCATGGGGGAGGCTAGTCCACCTGCCCTGCAACATAGGGTTGGGGGGCCTGCAAAGGAGCCTGGGATGCCTGAGGTAGCACCCTAAGTTGAGTCTGGAGAGGAATCTGGTGCTGAAGTTTGATAGACCAGTCTAACATACACTGATTAAACCTGATACTGCATCGATCCAGGTCTATCTTAGACTGGATTCCACCATTTTTAAACCAGTCTATGTGCATTGAACTTCTGTTCTGTTACAGGTTTAGATCAGTTTCTGATCACTTATACTTGTTAGTATAATGTCTATACCTAGCTTAAAATTTTAAATGAAAATTATGGACACTCTCAATCAAATTAAATCAAATCTAAAGCAGAACATACGGATCTCCAGCTCCTGATAAGTCTGTTCCATTTTCTTCATAATCTGGAAACAAATCCTCTCTTTCAAGCAACTCTTGATATTTCTCTTGATAGTCTACAAACAGAAAAAAACCCTTCGTTTAGTACATAAGCATTTCTCAGAGGTCTTAACATGAGAATGTACCTTAGAACAGAGCAAACAGAGTCTTTTAAACTAAAATCCAACTACATGGTCCAAGCACAGTCTTTTTATCAGGCTTTGCAAACAAAACTGTCTATGCTGCATGATCTCCATTTCTGTTTTTACATGACTTTGCACTCACTTACCAAAGTCAAGCAGGAAATTCATTTCTCTGGACAAGTATGACAATAATCACAAGCTCCCTGAAGAGGGTACAAAATGCTCTGCCATAACTAGATGAAATAAAAGACCTTTTCCTACTAAGTACAAAATAAATACAAACATTTACAAAATACATTAGAGGGTTTTGGACTGTTTGGATGAATAGCAATAGGCGCTGGGGATGGATACACCAAACTTCTCTAGGCTGACCATGGGAAGCTAAGGCTGGGTTCTCCATTCCACAGGGAAAATGCTTGAAGATATTTGCATTCTTTAAGTCTAGGGCAGGATAGAACCATCTAAGTCTCTTGAGGATTACAAAAATAGTAAGTATATTTATCTCCATATGGTCTAAGCTTAAACCACAACTCTGTACCAACTTACCTAAACAATCCTCTTTCTGTGCTACTCTTTTGAGAGTCAATTGGGAAAAAAAAAGGAGTTTTGCCAATGAAATGAAACAAACCAAGACTTGAAGCTACAGCTACCCATTGCAGGGGTCCATGGAAAACAACAAGAGTTTTGTCTGACTGGTTGGTTCATCTCTCTTTCTGAGAAGCGTGTCTGCCCAAGCCACGGTGGCCTCTTTCTATCAATTTAGGTTTTCCTCCGTGTTAAATTTTCCAATTAGAAGCAAAGTATTCACTCCACACACTTCCATAGAGCTTAGACCTGAAGAACAGACCTTTTGCCAATTCTTTTTATGAAATGGCTCTTTCTGGAAAGTGATGTTATCCTGGAGGTGAAATTCTCTATAAAGAAATCTGCTACATGAACTAGACCATCGCCTGTAAGAACTAATAAATAAAGGACTTTTGAACATAAGGTTACCCAAGAGCCAAAGTTCAGGAGGCAGTTAACTCAAGAGGGCATACTATAAGAAGTAGTAAAGAGGATGACAGATCACATCACAGGCGAAAGTTACTAATAAATTTAGGAGGTGAGAATTAGGAGCGCACATAACATACAGAAATATTTCTTTTACCTCCAACAGCTGTGAAACAGAAAAACAGCAAAGCAGAATCAGCCAGCCATCCTCCTTTAAAAGGGGCAGTGATGTCCGAAGAGCTTTGCTTTTTTCCTTAGTCCCTGTTTGCTGGGTAGTAGGAAGATTCATACACTTCTGATAACAGGGCATCAATATTATTTGCCATTTATATGACCTTATTTTAAATCTTTATGCATATTTGGACAGGGCCTAGCTAGTTTCATGAAAATGAAAGCTAGAGGCCTACCTGGGTCTGCAGCAGTGAAAGGAACACCCTCAGAGGTATAAAATGTTGGCTCATTCTAAAATAAAAAATTGACACAAATTATCCACGTTTATAAAAACCTGAAAGTTATATTAATAGACTTCACTACTTCCAGAATATTTGTTACTGTTAAGAATACCTGTTTCTTTATTAACATATACTAACTTGAACAACTGATGTTTCTGAATGTATTCATACCATGAAATAGTTGGGGTCATTTTCCGGCGTTGCTTCCCTATATGTCGAGGTTACATGAACTCTACCCCAGTTACTTGACCGCAGTTCTACAAGTTTCAGAAGCATCTGCTTTACATCTCTGCAACAGATAAAAGCACCAAGACTGCTTAATACTCTACAGGAAATACTTCCTATAAAAATGTAAACTCAAAGCCTCTGTAATGTTGTGCATGCTGACTATGCAAGTTAAAGTACATTAAAATAATGTAACAGAGATTTGTAGCTAATAGCAAGAGAAACAGTAAGACAACAGCACTTCAGTAGCTAACAACTCTATTTTAAGTCCCTGAGTATCTGTGCAACTGCACGTGTGATAGAATGACTTGGTCTGAAGGAACAAATACTTAAGCTTGTTTAATACAGCAATATTATGCAGTCAATCACTTCAATTAGTTACACAAATATGTAAGAGAATGACATTGTAATGGTAAATCCCAGTCTCCCCAAAATTAAGCTTTATTAAAATCCAGGCCTGAATACACAATGTAAGATAAATACCATATTTTCTCATATGCTACCCATACCATTCGCCCCAAAATCAGCCCCCCAAAACTAAGGTGCATGAACTGGGGAAGCTGTTTTCTTCACTGGAAAAGTAGCAAGCCTAGAGACATTGTATACCATGCAGCTACCAAGATGGCGGAGTCCTGGGTTAACCCTTTCACAGCCATAGGTATTGGCTAAGCACTGTAACATGCCTGAAGCAGCAAGTTAACTAGCTGATGAGGCCTGTGATATGGAAATGCCACTTTTTTTTTTTTTTTTTTTTTTTTTTTTTTTTTTTTTTTTTTTTTTTTTTACAGGAACTTGTATATAAAAAACTACTTACAGCATATGGTTAACACTCTTGCTACTACCTTTGCAACTTTCTGGGGCATAAGCTTGTGTGACCTACAGTAAGTACACCTAGGAACATAGAATAAATTTGGCATTGCAGGAGACAGTCTGCCACACAACCAAGTTCCTGATGCCATATTTCCTAGACACTCCATCTTTTTAAGAGGACTTACTCTGTCAGTCAGACATGACTGGGAAAATTACATACATACATACTTATGGGGAAAAAAACATATATGGAAAAAACCACTCCAAAAACTGAAACCAACAAAAAAACCAAATCAAACCGAAAAACAAGGTACGCTTTTTCTTAGGGACCTATGTGTTCTTAGAATATAGTACGACATGTACTTGATTTTAAGATAAGACCCTCACCCCCCCAGTTTAACACGAGGAAAAAAGCCCCACGCCTTAGAATCATGTATGGAAGGGTGGAAGGGGAAAGCGGGGGGAGAAGTAGGGCTGCCAACCCTCCTGGATTGGCCGAGCATCTACCAGCATCAGCATCCATTTCCTGGTTTCTATTAAAAGCAATCCGGGAGATTTCAATAGGATATTTTAAGAAAAATTAAATTAATGACATTATGTCATGTTGGAACCCCCACCTCTGCACCCTGCCAACTCTCTCCCCTCCCCCGACTTCCACACCCTGGCAACTCTCTCCTTCCCTCCCTCCCCCCCGCACCCGACACACACATCCTCTGCTCAAGCAAGGGGCAAGCTGTTTGATCTCCCCACACCACCTGCCCCACAACTGCCTGCCCCCCTGCAGTGGTGGTAGGATGCGAATTAAAAAAAGACAATCCCTCAATAGTTAAATTATATATACACACTGAAAGTTATAATCAATTTACAATTTTTTCATGAACAGAATGTAATGATTGGGTATTGGGGATTTTAAATTCAGGGTAGTCTTAGGATGGAGTAGATATGGTAGTTCAAAACTATGTTTTACAGGTTATATGCATTTTATATAATTTTATGTACAACAACAAATGACAAAGTTGCTTCTCTAATTTAGGCTTAGCACCCACTCAGAAATAGGAAAACATGAAAAAAATGAAATGCTAAATTTAATAAGCTGTATGTATGGTTAATGCCTGTACTATTTCAGCATTAACATTCTTTCCAGCTATCTACTGTTGTCAAAGTTTGACAGGTCTTCCTCAAATTTTGGTTAATCAAACCATCATTCTGAAATTCTAGCAACAGGGACTTCCCTTAGTCATTCCTTGGCAGGAAGATATGGTAGTTAAATTTAGGTCCATGAAATGTCTGACAGCAATAGAAAAAAAAAGGTAATCTCTCTCAGCTTGTTACTTTGAAAAAAATATCCATGAACCCAGAGCATGATAAAACAATAAAAAGTAATCTCTCATAAATTATTTAAAGTGAATGCTGATAATAAACAAAATACATAGTAGATACTTCTTTAGATTTACAGACACCCAAGAGCCATAGTCTTTTGGTGGGTGGAATAAAAATTCTACCCATGTTCAGGTGGTCACTTAACTTGGTATTTCTCCTAGCAGTCCTTATAGAATAGGAAATGCTTTTCACATCTAAGTAGCCCATGAAATCCTGAAGATACAAAGACTTGTTCTATGCTGTGGTATACTTTCAGATACATTTTTCTTCACCAGGCTGGATGCAAAGAAATGGCTTTTCTACCACTTCTCAATTATAATCAATACAGTACCAAAGGCATCTGCTCCCCTCCCCCAAATAGTTCAGCAGATTAACAGTTTATGTAAAATAGAAAATAACTCAATTCTGAAGCAGCAGATCAGGGAAAAAGCACAGGGTAGGAAGCAGAAAGAAGAGCAGCATATCAGGCAGGGGAAGGGGATCAGAGTGGTAGTCAGAGAAAGTGGGAGGCTAATGCGTGTCACGACTGATGAAAAGATTGGCCCCCAATGTGCTAGAGAAAGTGAGTCACCCACACATTGCCCTTTTTCAGCATGTTATATACAATATCCTGCTCTAGCCGGAATAAAACATTAATTTATAAAGTGGTAGAGAATATCCTTCTCTGACACTATAAAATTACTTCTACCTATGCATTCTTTTATCTTAATACAAAGCAGTTCAATTTAGAAGCGTTACAGTTTCAAATTTGGAATATGAGGACAAAGGTCAACAGCATATGAACAATATGCAACATTTATTTCCTATTCTGTTTTAATCCACCAAATACATGTAGTATATACACTTTAACAAAGTGGATTTTTTTAAACAAAACCCAAGAAATACTAAGTTTCTTCAACAAATGCAAAAATTATACCATTTACTAGAGAACATCAGTTATAAAAAAAGGATATTAACACTTATGATTAAGCTTGTATTGGTTGCTCAAAAATGTGTCTCTGAACAAACATAAAAACCTCTATTTATTCAGAAACAAAATTTTGTAACATGGAAATACCATACAAATATTAAATTTTAGCTTGTAAGAACAAAGACTTGTTAAGATTCGTCAAACTGATTTCTGCACCTTGATTATATTTAAATTTTTACTGTACTTGGTTTCACAATCCCAAAAAAACAGAGGGAAAAAGCCCCCCACAACTTGCACACGAATAAGAAAAGCAACACAACATAACGAACAGCTAATTGTCCTTCCCACCTGCTGCAATGTGCATCCAAGACAACATTTTCAATCCTTTGGATCATTTCATCCATATCAGTCTTTCCTTTTTCTTTCCATGCATCTTCTAAAACTGACCCTGTCAACTGAATAATGCACATTATTAACAAACATTTAGTTAACTATGAAAAACTATAGAAAAGCAGAGTTGTTAAGAGGTCATGGAAAGCAATGACACATTATTTTGTTTTCTGAAAAGAAAACCTAATAACTTATTTCTTTCATATTTCTTCAGTTTTGAAACATGAGCTTCATAAAACAGATACATTTTTAGTAGGCAGGTCACCAGCGACTGATTTGTTCTCGTCACCAAGGATCATCCAGCATTTACATTGCCAAGTTACCAACAGACCCTTCCCTCCTAGAACTCTTGGTTCAGGAATGATATCTTCTATTAGACCAAACTAAAACATCACAAAAAAAATTATGTTCCTGTTTAGCTTTCAGGCACATGAACCCTTCCTCAGGCTCAAGGAAAATAAAAGATGGTAAAAAGTCCCCATAGGTAAAAAATAAACTTCATTTTGCACAGAGGAAGCTGAAGGTGGAAGTTTGTTCCTTTGGGTCCATGAAAGTGTCTTTGTGAGTTGCTCTTTGATGTGCAGATAAGGCAAGATAACTTCCCTGGTGATGTCACATGGCAGAAAGGCAGGGAGGTATAGAAATCTGTCTTGCTGTTCAGCAATGAAGTTCTAGAGTTTTTCATTTCTTTTAGTGTTAGACCAACACAGCTACCAAATACATCCCTGAAACATGGAAGATGCCAAATTTTAGCCTATTTTGGATTTAAACGTCATGTTGAACAATAAGAAAGATTTCTACACCTCTCTGCCTTTCTGCCATATGACACCACCAGGGAAGGAATCCTGCCTTATCTGCACATCAAAGAGCGCCTCACTACTCATCGACCCAGAGGAACAGACTTCCACCTTCCGTTTCCTCTGTGCAAAATGAAATTTATTTTCTACCTATGGGGTCTTTTTACCGTCTTTCATAGTTTCATAATAGCTAGGGTCATGAGGGACTTGAACAGATCATCTAGCCTGACCCCCTGCCACAGGCAGGAATGAATGCTGGGTTCACAAGACCCCAGACAGGTGACCATCTAAACATTTTTGAATTTGCCTAAGGGAGGGGTGAGGACCGCTTCCCTAGGAAGCTGGTTCCAGATTCTGGCCACCCTAACTGTAAAATATTGCCTTCTGATTTCTAACCTAAAACTAATCTCCATCAGACTATTACCATTGTTTCTTGTCACCCCAGGTGGTGCTGGGGAGAACAGGGCTCTTCCTATTTGCTGATGATCTCCCCTGATGAGTTTGTAGGAGTCTGAGTCTTTAATTTTCCCTGAACCTGAGGAAGGGCATGTGTGCCCGAAAGCCTGCAGAAAAAGATTTTTTTTTTTTGCAATTTCTTAGTTGGCCTAATAAAAGATGGCTATACCCTGTAAAGGAGGGATCGAGTGGACAAAAGGGGCGGGGGCATAGCTCTCTCTGTCAAGGAAAGCTACACATACCTGCAAGCTGACATTGACACCCACGGTGGATCACTTGAGACCCTCTGGGTTAAAATCCATGGGGAACACAGTACAGGGGATACTATGGTGGGGGTCTACTACAGACCTCCTACCCAGAGTCAAGACCTTGATGAGGAGTTCACCAGAGAATTGGCTGAGGCCACACGATCCCAGTGTATGGTTCTCATGGGAGATTTTAACTACCCAGACATCTTGTGGGAGGAGGGCTCAGCCAAATCCAAGCGGTCGCAAAGCTTTTTCTCTTGTGTAGATGACCTCTATCTGATACAGGAAGCCTATGAGTCGACAAGAGGTAAAGCGCTGCTTGACCTTGTACTGGCAACCAGGGATGACCTAATCAGCAACCTAACGATCGAAGGGAAGCTGGGTGACAGTGACCAAGAGTTGATCACCTTCACCATCTGCCGCAAAGCTGGCAAGTCAGTCAGTAATACAGAAGTTCTTGACTTCAGGAAAGCTGACTTTGACAACCTAAGGAGGTTTGTCAGAGAGGCCCTAAAAGGCCACAACCCAGTGGTGAGGGGTGTTTAGGACAAGTGGTTGCTCCTCAAGGGAGCAATCCTGAATGCACAAGCAAAGTCCATCCCATCTCAGAGGAAAGGCAGCAAAAGGGCACAGCAGCCCCCTTGGCTCTCCAGGGAACTGGCGGATCTCCTGCGTCTTAAAAGGAAGACCTACAAAGGATGGAGGACTGGAACTGCCACCAAGGAGGAATACTCTGCTCTGGTCCAGACTTGCAGAGAGCAAATCAGGAAAGCCAAGGCTGTGATGGAACTCCAGCTAGCCACAAACATCAAGGAAAATAAAAAGTCCTTTTTTAGTTATGTGGGGAGCTGGAGGAAAAGCAAGGGCAACAATGGATCCCTGCTAAACCAGGTGGGGCAACTGACAACTGACGCCCAGGAAAAAGCAAACTTGCTAAATGGGTACTTTGCGTCAGATTTCCACCATTCCCATAGGACGGCCCTGACCCATAGGCCTCCCTGCCTATGGGTCACGAAAGCCAAGGCGAGGGAGATTCCTTGCCCTCCATCGAGGCTGATCTTGTGAAGGAACACCTTGACAGGCTGGATACCTTCAAGTCAGCTGGCCCTGGCAGGTTACACCCAAGGGTACTCAGGGAGCTGGCAAGCATCATAGCTCAGCCCCTGGCATGGATCTTTCAGAGCTCCTGGCGCTCTGGTGAAGTGCCCGATGATTGGAAGA